AGGGAAAGACCGGCTGCAATCCCTATAGAAATTAAAAGCATTGATGATACTTCCAACTTTGATGAATTCCCCGAGTCTGATATTTTACAGCCAGGTGAGACTGATGTCTTATATTCCACATTTTATCTATGCTATGCCATGCCTGAATACTCCATGATTTTTGTGTGTGTGTTTGTTTTTCTGATATCCAAATCCAGCCAATATATGGGCTTGATCTAGAGATTTTCTTTCAAATATAAATGTAAATTTATAAACTCTTGTAGCTTCTGCTTCTGTAGATCTTGGGGGCAGAAAAGACCAAATAGATGTAAACTGTTAAGTTAATTAGAAAAAATGGTCAGCATGTATTTTCAGACAGTGAACATAAACAGCTTTCTACCCTATAATCTGTCTAATGAAATTCTGTTAAAACATTATGCCTTGATTTACTTTAGATCTTTAACTTTGGCGTTTTGAGCCAAACATGAATTTTAACATAGTTATGGGCAGAAGTTTGAAAGGCAGATGAATGAGCCAACTGTAAGTTATTCAACATAGCAATTTGAACTTCACAGGCTCCACAAATTATTTAGTTTCTTAATGTTATTTCCTATTGGCAAGTAGCAAGAAATTCTTATATAGATAGAAGGCCTAATTCTCTGAGGTACTGAATTCTCCCAAATTCCACTGTTTTCACTTAAATATTTATTGCTTATACATAGGCAGATATATTACAGTGATTATGAATTATAGATGAGTTACATATGCCAACAAACACCAGAATGATCAAAAAGCCTTTTTTTTTCCCCTCCTCCCTGAAGTAGATGTTACTTAGCTGTAAAGTCAGTTCTTCGAAGGCAAAAGCATTCAATCTCCAGTGCCTAAAGTTGGGTATATAAGTTCATATTTATGTAATGCATAATGTAATGGTGTTTTTTGGCATTTCACATGTGTCACATCACTGGAAATGTTACTGTACATCTAAATACCTAAATATAACCTTGTACACCTGTATTTTTGGCCACTTGAGTTCAAAATGTCTTTAGAACTCTAAAGATAACTACCTGAATGCTAAATTTAGAAGCTCACTGTACCAAATATCCGTGCTGAGCATGCCAGCCGCGTTGGTCACTTATTTATTAAGAGGTGACTGGATCTCCTGCTTGCTGTAGAAGCCTTGGAGGTGCTGTAAGCAGGAAGGAAGTCCTAGGAGTGTAAAATGGGTGATATATGTAATCCTCTTGGGATGCATGTAGCTTTTTCTTCTATTTATGACTTATGCTTATAGGGATTTGTTGTGCATGAAGTGTCCTAAATGTTATAAGTAACTGTATATCTCATGGTAGTAGTAGAGGTTCCTTTTAGGTGACAGGAGCTTCTGGTGTGCACACAAACCGAAATACAACATTTTATGCTTCAGAAAGATATGCTGAAATGACTATTCTGCTCAGATCAATGGCAAAATGCCACTGAGCTTAGTGGAAACAGGGTTTCTTCAGGGGATTCTTGATGCCGAGGGAAACGAGTTTCATGTTTATTTACTTTAGTGCCACATGAAAAGGCCTCTCCTAAGTAGCACTGCTCTTAATTCTTGCTTCTGTTTCTGAACTCTAGTGCCAAACACAACGGAGCCTGACTACAAATCCAAAGACTGGGTTTTCCTCAATTACACCTACAAGAGGTTTGAAGGGCTCACGCAGCGTGGCTCCATCCCTTCCTACATGAAAGCTGGGAAGTTGTGAACCAAAACACAAACCCACAAAGGAAAGAAAACCCCACAAACCTCAGGTAGCTGCATCACCAGACCCGCTTGGCGTTAGTTTTCAACACATTGACTCTGGTGCGCATCAACTTCACACGGAAATTCTACGGGATTAGGATTTCTAAGACTACTACAGGAATTAGTTGGCAGTGCCAGCTGGCTTTTTTTTTAATATTTGAATATTTTTGTTAACTTTATTATACAAAGGTACTGGAATAAAAAGGAACGTACATCCCTTTGTAACTGCACTGCCTATGTGTGTAGAACGGTTAATTCTGCCTCTCTGTACTGTGGCTGTGTTTGTACTGTAAACCATCTAATCCACCCAGGAGTAAAAACATATCATTTTATGCAGCATTGTTATTATACTGCTCGCCTGGTGGTTTTTAGATAGGCAGTATGGAAAACTATTGCCCGTATTTGCAAAATCCTCTGAGCAGTTGTTGAGGGGGTTCCACTTGTGGTCTACAGCTAGCCCATGAGCACGGCAACATTTCGTTATTTAAACTAGCAATATCCTGTGGAGCCTGATTATACCTTCCTTCATTCCTCCCCTCCAAAGCCCTGTACCAGCAGCTCATCCATAATCTTCTCTCCTTTTTCTTTATTCCCTGTGTGTGGCAATGAGACAGTCCCTGTGACCTGCGTAGTAGTGTTGCTGCTTCAAAATGCCATTACAGGTGTTTCTGTTCAAGCTGATGGAGCTTTAAACCTGTTAGCAAATTCAGAAGAAAAAATGGAATCTGAATTCAAATGATTTTTTTTGTCCTTGTTTTAGAAAGGAAATTTTGTCCTGATACCAAGTTTTGAGGAGGTGGCAATCTCTGAGTTTTCATTCCTGCCTCGACTGTAAAACAGATAATCTTACTGCTCTTGAGAATTCAAATAGCCTTTTCTGTCCCTGCAAAACAGGTATTCTAGAAAAGTGATCAACCTGCTTCTTTTACTATCTTTTTCCCTTTCCCTAAGATGTTCCAAGCAGGAAAGGATCCTGTCCCTGCCTTTCATTTTCAGCACATCCATTAGCAGCCTCCTCTAAGCTGGAGCAAATCGAGCGCCCCACTAGGTTCACTCTCTTGCAGGCTCCAGTTTCTCCCACTGTCTCTCTCATGGTCTGTGGGCTTGGAAGGGCCCGAGTGAGTCTGGAGCCCAGTCACCAGGGCCCACAAGCAGCCACGAGTGCAGCCAGCAGCGCCTCTAAACGCCGCTCTGCCCAGTGTGATGGTCCATACGGGCTCCTCCTGCTAGCCCTGCTGCCAGCTTGCATATATATATATATATATATATATGTATATGGCTGCTGGTGAATTTATCTGTAGCTCTGTCCCAGCACCTTCTTTGCAGTATGTAGAAACGAGCAGAGTGCAGTGGAGATCTCTCATGTCCTTTGCTGGTTAGAGGGGAGACGTGCGCAGCGGAGCAATGTCCCGGTAAGGCAAGAAGCCAGGTCCCACTTGCTGCCTCCCTTGGTGCTGCAGCTGCCCTGAGCGCCAGCGAAAAGGGAACCGAGGGCCCCCAGGGCGCCTACTGCAGTGAAGCACAGGATGCTCTGATGTGTAGTAGACTCCATTAGACCCTTTTTTTCCCCTCAGGAAAATGGAAGCAATTATTGCTAAAGCCATTACAGAAATATTCACTGCTGCTAGGCACCAGGACATCCGCCTCTTCCGAGTTGTCTGTATGCTTTAAAGCTCCCTGTGGGGGTTCATCTGTTGCATGGAAGACCATTTAGCAGAAAGATTTTTGTGCCCTGGTGTCGTCTTCCCCCAGCCAGCAGTTCAAGGGCTTCGGTCATGTCTTTGTTCAATATTTTGCTTGTTTTCAAATATCTGATGTTTGGCTCATCAAAAGGGAGTATCCATTTATACAATATTATATCAGAATATGGCCATGCTTCATTTTTGCCTTAAGGCTTGACTTACATAGGAACACCTTATTATTTCCCAATTTTCTTCCGGAAAGTTGCACTAATTTCCAGGCTGGTTTTATCCTTGTCAGCAAAGTAAAGGTCACCTATAACCATCCAAAGATTGTCCAAAATTTGTAGCTCACTTAAATCCACATTTATATTTTTGCTACCACTTTTTACCAGTGACCTAGAACTAGCAGGGCACAATTTTCTTGTCTCCCTGCTCTAAGGTATAAGCTTGGCCCCAAAAGATACTGCTATTCAAAAATCCATTTGTTCTTTTATCTTTAATTCTTAGCCTTGTTTGGGGGGCTCATGTACACTAGAAGTGGAATTCCTCCAGAAAAGAAAAAAACATTTCAAAAGACCACAGTTACCCTATTTATGTAATATAAAAAGAAGTCTTTGCTTGAATTTACCAAGACATGGGAAACTGCAAATGCTCAGTGATTTTTTTTTTTCCCCTAGTGGAGCTTAGGGGAAGGAAGATAAATATACACTTAACTTAAAGCTATCTATTAAACAACTCTGTCTGTACATACTCACTGGTTTACAGGCTTGGAAGAAGCTCAATTCTTTGTAACACTAAAGATAATATGCATATAAAATTGCAGATGATTAATCATATCAGTGCTCACATAAGAATTATATCCTTATGGAAACAGCCTGCAGCCTGTTTAGCAAACACTTCTGTATTGAATAGTTATTTTTTTTTTCTTTTTTGAAAACATGGCGTTATTTTAACCAGTAAGTCAAGTTAAAGACAATATTAACTACTGCTTTTAGGATGATAGGTTTGTTTTTTCTTTTTTGAGAAAGATAAAGCTGTGACACTGTGATAGATTAAAGAGAACAGAAGGTTAATTTACACTGGCTTTCCAAAAAAAAAAAAAGAAAAAGAAAAAAAGGAAGTGTAACATATCTTTTGCTTCTTTATTTTGTCCTCCTCTTTTGAACAGCTGTGTTTTTCCTTTGTTGATTTCTGTCACTGTGCCATTTTTTTTTTTTTTAATTCTTGGAGTACCAAAGATCCTGAAATGGCTTGATGATTGCAACCATGTGAAAAATTATTTTCTGGGAGTATATTTTTGTTAACTTCAGTTAAACCGCGGAATGGTGTATGCAAATTGCTCTCAGAAGTTAACCTGTTCCAGCAAGGAGATCTTGAGCGCCTCTGCGGAAGTAGGGAGCCTCTACCCCGACTCGGCATCGGAACAGCCTGGAACAGGGGCGGATGTTTGGACTGCGAAGCACAGCTGAGCTTTGGCACTTGGTTCCCTCTGTGATCGGCGTGAGTGAGTGGCCTGAGGTCCAGGAGAGTGGCAGAGCACCTTTCATGTGTAAAAGGAGTTCGAACAAACCAAATGCCAGCGTTCAGGAATCACCTGTTGCTGACACCGCGTTTGCACTGTTGATTTGCCTTGCTGAAGAGTTGTATAAGTGTTATTTTTATAGGTCAACTGTCCCACACCCGGGCCGCTGGCTGCAGCATGGGATGAGCGCAGGGGCTAGGCACGGGATGTGGCCCAGGGGAGCGCAGCAAAGCGCTCCGGGAAGAGAGGGCCGCGAGCAGGGCGAGGAGGGTGTTTGCGTGGGTTTCTGGTGGCGGCAGCGGTGAGTCGGGATGGCTGCAGCACGGCCCACTCGCACCGGCGCTGCTTAGGAAGTGCTCTGCCTTTTTCAGTACCATGAGCGATTACAAGCGTTGTAACATACTGTACCGTGTCCTTTCAACGTCAGATATTGCAGCAGCTCGTTCTTGGAGTCTAAATGGCAACTGCTCTATTTTTTCCTAGACTGTTTCATTAGTTGTGGTTGGGAAAGTTACATAGAAGCATTATAAAAAATTTATATGAGGCTTTTTACAGCATTTGAAAATAAATGTAGCATTCTTTTTGTAAAATTGTGGCTTTTATTTTTTTATGCTCAGAGCACTTTACGTGAAAGGGACTGGATTTGTTCCCCTTCCAGACTGGTGGATGTGTAAAGAACGGAGACCCTTGGCTTGCGAATCCTCACCTTGAACCGCGCTGGCAGCAGCGCCCATTCGCTCTTAAAGCAGCACATGCAGAGAGCACAAGTTGCCTTCACTCTAGCAGATGCAGCCAGCTCAGGAGTGGTTATTGCTCTTCCCAAGAGCTTCCCTTTTCTTTCCCTTTAGCCTTCCCTGGGCAGTGTGTTCTTGGGTTCACTGTAAGAATACCTGTGTCTAGCTGTTCCCGTTTCCTTATCGAGACCACAGCAGGAAAACGCACATGAAACACTAGCACAGGGTAGCGCAGCTGACAGCACACAGGAGCTGGGGCCTGCCACACACTGTAGCTCACCACTGAGTAACAGCTCTCTGCTTGAGAAGTGCTGCTCTCAGCAATTTGAGACAATTTTTACAGAAATTTGCCAATTCTGTTTAAGGGGATTGCACCTTCCTCCTGGTTACGAGGAAATGTCAGCTTAGTTCTCAATTCCCTTGAATTACCAAATCCCATGTTCCTCAAGAATATGTCGCTTTAAAGATGAACATAAAGGCTATGTCACCAGCACATTCAAAAATGTTTTTTGAAATGAATCTGTTAAAAATATAGTTCTATGTGTATAAAGCATCCTGCAACCATCTGATGTGCTTTTACACATTTTATTTCTTCCTGCACAAAACGTTCCAGGTACATAAGCAAAATATTTTCCTGGATCGCTTTTTGCACTCATTCTTGATGCCACATCTTGTTTCTACACCAGCTGCTTTAAGCCTGTTTCCAGTGAGCCACTTTCTGCTGCTTCTTCTCGGGAAACACTTGCTCTCCCTCCCCACCTTCAGCTGGTAGCAGTTACTCCCCATCTACTTCCCACCTGCTCCAGAAGTTTCTGCTCCCGCACGCAAAGCCCAGGTCTCTCCCTTGCCTCTATTGTTTCCTGGCTCAGACAGAAACCAGCCACTGGCATCCGCAGGGTCATCGCTGTTATCTTCAAGTTCTTGTGTAAAAGCTGGGTGTGAGTTACCCCCATCCCTGCTCCGTGCCTGCAAGAGGAGACAGCAGGAGCAGAGAGCGAGAGTTACAAACGCCAAAGGCAGTGTGTCCTTCCAGAGATTCCCACAG